TAGAAAAAGTGAGTTATCATACTTTTTCGACTCATTGTGGAAAACAGCATGAGCATGCTTAGTATAACGATCTACATGTCTTGTACACATCATCATATCTGCTGATTTTCCGATCAGGTTTTGATGTCCGAGCAGTTGTACAAATGGTGGCCAGTAACATACAGTTACAGTATTCCAGATTGTGTCACGATTAATTAATGCTTGAATACACATTATATAACAAAGATATATCTACTTCACATTGATTGCAGTGTTAATTATCACAGATGATGTTAGCAGTTCATTCTGATCAGTTATAGTTCTTCAGACTTTTATACCTTGACCTCTTCAAATTGAGTAGAACTGATTAGTTAATCAGTTAGTTTTCTGAGTGTATGAATAACCTAGAATTAATCGTGACACAATCTGGAATACTGTAACTGTACGTTACTGGCCACCATTTATACAACTGCTCGTATCTTTTCAGCTACTTGTGAAGAGAGCTTTTCGCTTTAACTTATTTTAATTTATTGTTTGACGCAAACAAATAGACTAAATGGTACACTCGCTGTTCCGTGAAAGACGTTTCCGCGAATTTACCTTTTCGCGAATGAAAGTCTTTTCACATTCACTCTCACGCTGCTTACTGCCATCACATTGCAGCTCATGGATGAGCCGTGTCACGATACGTGTTTCGCTACAGAATAAGACGTCTCACAAGTCTAGACGATTCTTACTTACTCCATAATAATTTCAAGAGTCAACGTCGACAGTATTCTTTCTATTCCTTCATCAACGACAGTAAGGAGCCGCTTGGTACGTATAAATGATTGAAACATTTCTTAGCTGCTACTTCAAGGCAGATAGTAGTTTACATTTCTTTGACTAAACATCTAGAATACGTACTGATGCGTTACTGCCATTGAGAAACAAAAAGGAAATATGTAAAGAAAATACAGAACATACACATCCTACACATGATTATGTCAAGAAAGCAACGAGTTTTTCTACACTTTCTGTCAGTTTAAAAAGTGTGATGATGGAACAACACAGTTCACGTCCGAGAAGTTTTATGGTTTGGTGTGGTGTATCAAGTAAGGAAAAACAGCACATCGCTTTGTTGCATCTGGTGCTAAAGTAAATGCTGATTATTGCATTAAACATATATTAAAACGCATTATATCCAAAGTTATTCCAAGATTGTTTCCGGGAAATGATGGCTGCTGCAAAAAGCAGTCAGAAATAGCTAACTAGTGCATGGCTAATATGAAGCTAAAATATTATTAGAGAAAATGTGGAGACAACGAGAAGAATTCGTTGTGGACCAGCAAAGACGGTGCATGAGTAGAAACCTTAGACAGCAGTGCATTTAGTTAGTAATGGAAAACATGTTATCACTTTTATTATTGTTGTTCCTACAATGGAATTTGTTATATAATACCAGAGAAATAGATGCCGACTAGTCCAGACACAGCTCCGAGGGATTATTCTATACGGAGTTATATGAAAAACCAACTATGCTAACAGAGTTTTAGCCTACTGGCCAAAAAGAGTTTTTCTTATGGTAAAAGCAAAGGGCTTTCATACAGAACATCGTTTGAAATTATAATGTTTTTTATTTTTGTTAAATAAAACGAACAAAAGTGTACGAAAATAGTTGAACCATCATAAGTATGTTGATACCGATCAATCTAGCATGTCTGCGCAAGCATGCTGTACGCTGAACATCAATTAATCACAATGGCTATAGTATAACACATGTGCTCATCCAAACAAACACATAGTTCATTCATTCGAGTCAAGAGGAATCGACTAGCATACGATTTGTATAGGTTCCTTTTAGCTTCCGCTGACAAACTTCCATTTTGAGTGTCGAACAATACTTTTCTGGAGCTTCTATTTGTCTCTGCAATGAGACAACAGAGTTGTAAGGATCTCTGTAAAAATCATCCCTGAGAAGGAAGGAGCTGTATTATAATACCGTACGCTTTGCAGTTAAGTTTTGTATGGAATTTTATTCGAAAAAAATATAATTATATTTACATCGCTTAGTTTCGTTAGTCACTATATGATAGTCTAAACATGATTCGGATATTCACTTTGAATTAGTTCAATTGTTTGTTGTTGTAATTGATCAATGGACTGCGTCGCATCAGATTTCTCTGCTTTGACAATTGTTTCAGAATCTGTTGCTGTTCTCATCTGTTCATAACACCATTTTGCACATTCTGCATTAATTATCGACGGTTCTTGTTTGTGTGCAGTGTCCATATAGTTCCATCGTCGATATACTATTGCTGTTAACGGGTTTAATCGTCTGATCATGTTTAAGTATATGAAATAGTTCGAAATAGGACTTTGTCAAGAATAATTTATTAGACATAGAGACAGATGTATATATATACATACAAATGATAATGGAATATCATGCATCTGAGTCACACTTTTTACTATTGAATATACTTTCGGCACAGTGCCATAACAAAATTATTAATCTACGTAGGATACGAAAGGTTACACGCATAACGCCCAAACTGTGTTCGTTCTTCGCTTTTTCAACCTTTTTAATGGAACTACAGTGATCAAAGGGACTATGAAGAAAGAATGAAAAGAAAGAAAGAGAATTGCATCGAATATTATATGGTGTATATCTGTGGCGTTAAATGAAAAATGAACTTTCCAAGGTTATTGCCACTTTTACGTAGGTGAATAGTCACTGCCTGTGTGTGTGTGCTAAGGATATAAACTAAAATGCACAGCGAACACAAAGGGAGAGTAGGAATACAAGATAAAATGTAAAGTCATGATTTTCAACCGTGAGTCATCCAGTGTGTCTGGATTCATCTTTGGCGATACTCTTTTCTCTTCTTTGGCTCTTTTGCACCTTCGATAAAATAACATTCTGTGTACGTTATTTTGATCATTTTGTATATAAATACTTTAGTTACATTGTAGCACCCAAATAAATTACAGTTTCTATTTTCATCACACTAGAGAGAACTCATAAGGAGATCATTAGTGGCGTAGCCACCGGTTGGGCTGTGATGGTCTCAGCCCACTCACTAATGGGTTTTGTCAATCCACTAAGAGTTTTATAATTCGGATCGCCTCAGTATTACCAATGTCTAGGTCCACCGGTTTACAGTGAACCCACGACTTTCGTTTGTATCAGTAAGATTCTGTGACTGGTTCGGTTGCTCGCGATTCTCACCGCTTACGGGACGGCTGACGCTTTAAAGCATCATTGAAATTTCACGTGATCGAGCGCATGAGAATTCAAAATTTTCAGTTCTCAGTAAAACCCCACATTAACAATCAATTTACAGTCTTTCCTAAAAGCAATCCATTTACAATCTGTTAATAGTTTGAAAATGACCAACAGAGAGCAGAAAAGGCTCTGCTGGACACTATTAGTGTTAAAAAGTTGAAAAAACTCTGTAAAAAATCTTTTTAACTCCTGGACTTTTTCAATGTTCGCAGAATTCCAGTTCGACTTATAGAAATATACCTTTGGATCAACCACACTGGAGTTCCCTAGGATACATTGAAAAGTTTCTTCTTTGATAATGGTATTGGTTCTTCGAGAAAGTTGATCAAGTGTTTTGCTGACGGATGGTTCAAAAAATACCTGATAAAGTTTTATTCAAGTTCTTCAAAGTAGTCCATTCTTGATTAGAACCGCATAGACTTTTTCAACGTACGCAAAAAGCCATGCGCAGGTAGTAATTCCTGTGGGACATATAGCTTGATCTAGTGCAAAGGAAAAACTGTATTTCGATTTCATTTTTCAGCTGCTTTGATATACAGGTAATGGTAATAAACTGAAACGCTCGTCTTATCGTAGAACAGGACCGTATTGCTATGTAATTAATAGAATAAACCGCCATAATTTAAATCGCCATACAGCTACAGCATACGAATAACAAAAGGTAGATCCAAAATTATTTCGAAATGCTTGACTGATATTTGAATGACTCGTTTTTATTTTATGATGTGTGATAATGCATTGTTTTCGAATAGCACCGAGTTATGAGAGTCTATAGACCCGTTCTATAGAACGGGATAATCTTTCACGACAAGACATTGAAAAATTTTACGCATTGTTTATCCGGACTCATCACGAATCCAATACTGGGTGAATTCACATGAAACATACCACCATTACGTCGACCCTCGGCCCCAGTGAATAGACAACATGGGTTTTGTAGAGCGTGCTGAGCTGAATTTATTGGTGAAAATCACGAGTCCGTAGCTATTGCGGAAAAACAGTTATAAGAGTGTTATTTCCCCAGCAAAAGTAGTGGAATTTTGCTGTTTCAAAAGTTTGGCCCATGTAGGAGTTTTGAGATAAAGGACTTTGAAGATCCGAGTTTTTTTTGCATATATAGTATTTACAGTGCGTTTTACTTTAAAACCATCTGCATTAATTGTGGATCGAGATGAGATCCGGTGCGAGCTCCATACGGTCGGTTAAATAGCTGAGAAAAGGTAAAATTCCACTACTTTTTCTGGGATACTAACTTTTTTTCAACAAATGTACAATAAGCAAGCACAGAAAAATGCTTTATAGTAGAACAAATAAAAATGTTTAAGTCAAGAAAGTACACTTTCTATTGATTGATTTCTTAAGGAGAAGAGTTTTAGCACGCAAAAATAACTAATAAAACTCATTCGCATTCCGTTGCAAGTGGTCACAATCCCACAAAGTCAAAAGAGAAATAAAAAAGAGCCTGTGGATGGATATCCATAATACAAAATGAATTAGACTAATTTTTGCTCAAAAGAGCTCTGAATTAGAAATATTTTGATATTCAACTTGAAGTGGACAGTACGTAAAAAGAGAAAAGGATATGTTTTATTTCGTTGCGATCACATGCATATTGCTTGCTTCGGCCTACAACATCGTTGTCTATGTGTGCATTGACATTGCCGACTTTGTCGATACAGTTCTTCGTATATCATTGTTCGGTGGTTATTATAACATACATATCACCATCATTATTGTTTCTCAAACAACTTATAACTTACCTTTATACGCTCGTTGGGCGTATGAACCAAAATCAAATCGAATCTTCGGTCCTTTAACAACTGCGATTTCAGTTTCTGTCTGATACCTGGATTCGTAGCTCAGGGATGGAACTGCTTCATTTCAAGCTTGTTTGGCAATATATTGTTTTCCTTTTAATCTTCTCCATGTTCTTAAGTTTTTCGGTCGCTTTATATATATATATATATAGCATTAGACTGCAGAAAGAAATTGGATGCCATGATATGTATCAATTTTTGTCCGCAATAGCTATAGAGATGTGGTTTGTGAAGCTAGTCTCAGCTCGACGAGGTGTCAAGATGAGTTCAACCTTACGATCTGCGCCATTGTAAAGTGTGGTATGCTTCAGATGAATTTACCTTGCATATAGTTATGATGATATTGTTCAAAACCTTTTCGCACAGACGAACATCAAAACCTGATCGGAAAATCAGCAGATATGATGATGTGTACAAGACATGTAGATCGTTATACTAAGCATGCTCATGCTGTTTTCCACAATGAGTCGAAAAAGTATGATAACTCACTTTTTCTA